CCACATAATTGAAATATATATATATATATATATATATATTACACACAGTCATTTGTACTGAGGAAATGGCTTTTATTTCTGCACATGCTACTATAATAGACTTGCAATAACATATTGCATATGTCAAACAAAAAGGAGAATTAGAAAAGGCACCGGAGACCATATAGGAAATCTCATTTAAATTTATACGTATATAAGAATTTTCAAAAATCTATGTGCATGAATTTACAAGAAAAAAAAAAAAAGAAAACTGTTTTACTGTTTCTCAGGTTAAGGTCACTATCATACGCAATTAAAATAAAAAGCAGTTTCTTTTTATTTATTATTAAATACTTCTATTATGCTTACAAAGAATAAAATTGCTTAATTTTATGAATATCAGGAATTAACCAGAATACTGGAAGCACACCAAGTGTAAAATCTTGTTTTCTAGATCATGAAATAACTTTGTTGACCCTTTTCTAAGTGATGTTTGTCCAGTAGAATCAGTACAAGATAAAAATGATTAATGGTCAAAACAGCAAATAAAACAAGGATCAGGGTAAATGAGATAATGAATTTGTATATTCTGTTATTATAAAGTGATAGGGAGAAGTACAATATTTATAAAAATGCACATGAATTACACAGGTCAAAAAAGAAAAACATACTTTTTTTCAATCCAAAAAGAATGAGCGCAAACAAAACATTAAGTAGGCAAATACTTTAGCAAAATCTGAAGAATCAACTTGTCTTGACCTAGCCATAAAAGAAAAGCTCAAATTATGAAATAATTCTGGTTTTTTTTTAATGTCAATTTTCTCCAACGGCCTTATGGAATAAATTCAAAACTGATTCGGTACAAGCCAGATTACTGAGCAATATCTCAGAACAATACTGAATATATTTGTTGAGTTTATTTGAAATATCTTCTTTCTTTTTTTTTTTTTTCAAGAAACAATGCACAATACTAAAGAGAAAGTTTTTGTATAGCTTAATGAAATTATACAAGATGACCAAACAGCACAAAAAAATCCATACAGTTTAAACTATTTTTCCTATCAAATTGTTTTTGTTTTAATGAACAAAAGCAAAGAATCTTTTGACAGGATATTCAATTTAACAAAAACCTTCAGTTAAATTTTGATAATTGCAACAAATTTAAATTATATATTCTAATGACAGAATTTAGAAACAAAAAAAATTCTTTATCAGAAATAAAACAAAATAGTATCAAAAAGAGGTATTTAAAAAAATAAACATCATTTTTAGTTAATATACAATAAACAAAAATAAACCAGCCAGATACTAAAAATAAATATTAAATAAATTAAGCCAATAAAAGGAAAAATTAAGAAACTAATAAACTAATTACATCTTATAAACTCAAAATAATTTTAAATTCTCAAACAAAAGATGCTCCTAAAAGACATTTTTAAATAGAGAAGTAGACTGTAACGTTACAATAATTTAAGAAACCAAATATCTTGTTAATAAGTAGAGTAGGAAGAGAGATTCTTTTGGTATGCAAAGGACTACCACCACAGCTACCAGAGGGTGATAATACACAAAAGAAACAACCACAAGCAAAGACTAAATAAAAGGAGATTTTATATATATATCATAAAAATCTCCCCCAAGTCAAACTCCTTAAAATATATTGAAGGCCAGACAACTTGTCAAGTTTTAAATGAGAAAAAAAAAAAAAAAAAAAAATCTCCTTTTGAACATTTTTTTCTAACTTTGAAAGCCAGTAAATTAAGCAGAATTGCTGAATGGAAAAACTGAAAACTTTTACTGACAATTTAAAGTTAAAAATAAAGCAGAGGAATTATGTCACATTAGCAACAATTCACTCATATCCAGAAAAGAAAACCTATATGCTTGTATGTGTGCATATTATTTTTGTCACACACATGCATAAACAATAGATTAATAACACATCCTTGTTTAGTTTTGCTTGCTTGTTGCACTCTTCTCTTTATTAATTCTTTTATTAATAAGGCATAACCTTCAAAACCTAACACAAATAGAAAGATGAAAAAAAAGATTTAAATGAATTTTTAGGTAAATAGATGATCTTAAAAAGTCAATTGAGTCGGCAAAGTAAAATCACTAAGAATTTTACCTTGGAATAATTCATGGTAAATGTATTTGTTCATGTATACACTTTATAAGGGCATTGATGCACACATGTGTATACCATAATTCATTAAATAAAAATTTTAAAAAAAGCACAAACAAAGAAATAAAAAAAAAAGACATTTTTAGTAAATTCACTTTGATATACATCATATAAATAAGCATATATAAACTGACTGGAGCTGACAAACTTCTTGTATATCAAGGACCGGACGGATTCCCGGTATTGTCCTCTTCTTGAAAAAAGAAAATTTAAATGAAAAATTAAAAATTTCCTGCTGATTATATATATATATATATATATATATATATATATATATTTCCGAGGATTTGTTATTTAGCCTTTTATTTTTAAAATAAAAAAATCTCAGTAAGGAAAAAAAAAAAAAAATATAAGGCCAGGCTACATTTAAAAATGTACAAGGAACTTGCCATGTAAAATATCTAAATTTAACAAGATATAAATGTGAATAAGATAAGTAACATATTTGAAAATGCTTTAAATATATTGAAGAGAATAACACCAACAAACAATAACAATCATAAATATCAAGTAAGCCCTTTCAAAAGGACAGATGCTGATGTTAAGAAGCATGTGTATCAAGAGTAGTAAGCTTAATAAATTTAGGGAATGAGCAAATGAAGGGGAGAAAAAGAAAATTTGATTTTGTAATTAGTTTGAGAAGCAATAAAAATAATAATTCACCCAATATTCAATTAATATTTCAATGTTTAATTGATAAAAAAAAAAAAAAAAAAAAAAATTTGCAAAAACTAAAGATTTAAATGAGAAAAGTAATAAAAACAAGGTTAGGAAAAATTCTTATTTGAAATTATAGTGTAGAAAAAAATGACTAAATCAAGATTATTTCTGGTTTACACAAAGGCAGTGTTCAGTTTGCAATTGACAATCTTTCAAAATTGGTGAAGAACCATGTAAAGATTGGTAAAGAGACATGAAAGTCGCACACATGCACACACCGGGGGAGGTTGCGGCCTAAAATTTCCTACAGTAAAGACAAGACATTTTTGGTAAAACTTAATAGGTAATAATATAAGACATTAAATCTAAAAAGCAATTTGCACTTTGCTCTCCCAAACAACACCATTGCATGCCTGGGCAGCAAATGATACATAGATCCCAAAATTCAAATAATGACAATCATTCCAATATTCAGAAGCTAGTAGAAAAAAAAGAAAAAAAAAAAGTAAAACTGTTAATATTACTCGTAGCATTCAGACAATCTGGGGTGTGAGAACATAGTATGTATATTAAAGTCATATTTAAAACTGAAAGAAAGGTAAGAGAAAAACTAACAAAATCCATTGTTAAAATGAGTCCGGAGTTCCATTTACTGTTAGAACACAATAGTTTCCATATTTGTTACTTGGGGGGAAACATCAAAATAAATTGAATAATAGTTACCCCTACACAATTCAGGAATTCTTAACATTATGTTTTAGTCATTGAGAACTCAGATAAATTCTGGCAGATCAAGGATTCTCACCATTCTTTTAACAAAATTATATAATTTACTTACTAATAATATATTAGTTAACAAATACTAAATAGACATTAATGTGTGTGTACACACACATATTTTATTACTTGAACATTATTTTTAGTGGATACCCATATTTGAGTAGACACTACATTTATTTATTAAACAGCATATTTGTCTGCCAACCTGAATATTAGAGAATTCTTATATAGGTGTGAAGACAGACACATATATTTGGAAATAATAGATTTGACAGATGAATGCACTAACTGCTGTGGACATATCTGGTCAGAAAGAAAGTTCTTGCAGTTTGTAGAACCTAAATTTATTTAGAGACCACAAGATCTTTCCTTCCAACCAAATAAATCATTCCTCTTCGGCTCCAATCATATTCAACACACATCACAAGAATTCTTAGCATAAGCATCACTATCAAGTGATCCAACGCACACGCACACACAAATATATATATTAAGCATTTGTTGACATTGAAGGGAGACACATCTTGCAGTTACAGTCCCCTTGTGGGTAGAGGTACTTGTTGTAAGAGTCCATTTCAATACTATTCCTTCTTTAAGAAATAGGTGTTTTTAATTACTGATTAAATGGACAATTCAGAAGATTCAAGGGGAGCAATACAAAAAGAACTTTGTAGAAAGGATGGGTTATTTCTCTGGTGAATGGGAAAATAAATTTTTAACTTGTGTACACAAAAAATGTTAGGCAATAATACTGTAATAAAAAAAATCACACAAGAATATGGAACTATACAAACATAATCAGTTTAAATGTGGATTTTCATTATAGATATCCATGTGGGTTGCTTTATCACCAAAGCCAGAGGGGAAAACTAAAGTAAATTAGGATTTTATGCATAACACTGAAAATTGAACATTAATTTGTGTTTTTTTTTTTTTTTAGAATGATATGATACCTGGTCATGTGTAGAGAAGTCAGACAAAAATATTCACCTGAGGCACATTTATAACCCATCCTTCCTTCTCTTGACAATTATCAGACATACAAGCACACATACAAAAGAAAAAAAGATTAAAAAAAAATATATATTAAAACATAGTTACCAAAATGTATTACAATGTTAGAAGAACTAAGGCAGCTAGAAACTAGAATTTAGAATCCTACCAAGAATGGTAGTGCTGAAGAAAGAAAAAGGAAGTAGGGAATGAGAGGAGAAGGCAATAAGGTTGGTACGGGTTGGCAGGTTTGATCAGAAGCAACTTTTTCCGCTCAAACCAAAGAATGCATTAAATCTCATCATGTGCCTTTCTCCTGAAATTTGTAGACTTTGTGTTCATTTTAGCCTGAGGCTTTGATTATTAACTCATGTTGCTGCTGTGAAGTGAGACAGAGGCAAAATTATGCTTGAGCTGCTTGTGCTCCAGGAACTTTGCTCAGCACCTAAAAAACAGAAAATAATTAGACATATCAAAAAATGTAAAAGAAAAAAAATAATTTTCAACTTCGGCTTTATTCATTAAAGTCCTTGACTATAATAACAAGTTTCTTTAATACTTACAAAAACTGAAGGGAAAGCCCACAAAAAAATAAGTAAAAAAATTAAAAATTAAAAAATTAAAACAAAAAAATTAAAATTTGGATAACTGAACACTGAAATTATTAATTCTTGTAATAAAAAAAAATTCATAAAACAATGAATGTACAGTAAAACCTTGAATTAATGGTCCTGGAACCAACAGATTCCAGATATAACTTTAAAACTTTATGTAAAGGTATATATTAACTTAAAAATAAAATGCACATACATATATACTGTATTTACATTTATTTACAAAAACTTTTTTTACTGTACTGGGTGTTTTTAGGCCATTGTTGCAACAAGTGTTAAGTCCCTTAACTCTGTGGGTCAATTGGGATACTGCAAAGTATTTACTATTAAAAATAAAATAAAAAAACACACACTAGCCACTCTTGCCAAAATACTTCATATTTTCTTTTATCCTGATAAATTATTAAACTATCACAGAAACTATTTTGGACTCAAGAACAATTAGAAAACAGAAAATACAACTGATAACCTGAATTAAGTTTCTCTTTATCCAACTGTATAACTGACATGACTAATATTGTTTCTGAATATGAAATGTACAGCTGAATAAAGTTTCATAAAAAGAAAAGAAATATAAAAATCACTTGTTGCATTGGCATTTCTCTTGTAGCGCCTATCTTGACTACTACTTAAATCTTCAGTTGCTTTGCTATACTAGAAAATACAAAATGCAACCATTTTACACTATTTACATTAAAAACAGTTGAAGTAATCCAAAAAGTGACTTGACCCAAAGAGTTGCAAGTTCAATACCTGGCTGCAAAAACTTGAAAAGTTGAGTTATTAAAAGGAAATAACTGAAACTGAGATATCCAGAAAAGACATGGTATGTGAAATTAGAACAATCTGCCCCCGTGGACTTAAAATGGTTTGGTTTGAAATTCCAATGTATATCACCTGAAGAGGACTGAAGTGTACAATGGCTGAAACATTGTGAATATGACAATAAAGATGAGGACAACAGTCCAAATAATGTAAATAGTTACCATACCTCATCTAAGAAATATAGACAGATGCAATTATTTTATTTATTTATTAATAATCTACCTTAAGGGGCAGGGGCAGAACTTTTAGTCATTTCTATTAGTAATCCTATCCAAAAGTAAGCAAACAGCAGCAGATTACATTCATAATTGTAACTATAATTTTTCAATATTTTGGGAGTAAATATAGAAACACTATGGATAATTTGGAAGCTATTACTTAGTTTTTTTTCATCACATTTCAAGTAGAAATAAATATATATATATATATTATATATATAAAAACACACACAACGAAAAAGTAAAAATAAAAAAAACCTTACCTCTTTTTACAAATCTAATCTCTACAACTACATGTAACCTCCCTAGAGAAGGCCAAAAGCAAATCCAGATCTCAATTTTAATAACAAAACCCCTACACCAGCAGTACAAGCTATTTGAAACTGCAATGTGCACATGTGGAACTTTTAGTGTAGCAAAAAAAAAAAAAGTGCAAAAAAATTCAAAGAGTAACTGATATACAAACCCAGTAGTAGAAACATTCATTCAGTTATTTAATTATTGGTTTAAAAGATAAGTGAATTAAGTTGCATATAATTTAAGATAACATTTTATATACAATTCAGTTAACAACTTTGAATGTATATTAAATATACAAACAAATGCTAAACAATTTAACTAAATCAATCTCAGCAAGAGGCATTATCCTTGTACAAACAAGGACCTGTTGGTGGATTCATCACTTTAGATTGCGATATAAGCAGGTCTATATAAAAAGTTAATGTTGGATTGAACTATCTAAGTAAGATTGAACAGTAAGATGGACATTATACAATATTATTAATCATGTATGCAAGCAACAAGAAAAAGTCAACACTCATTATTATTTATTGATTATAAAATTATAAAAAACAAAAAACATTGCAATTATTTTCATATTAGCAAATCATTGCATACATTACTACATTTTTACCATAGATACAAGCAAAATATTCAACAAAAACTCAGTTATAAAAAAACTTATGTCCCCTTTTTATTAAAAAATAAATAAAAATACTAAAAATAAAATAAAAAAACAGTGGAATATTTTACAAAAACAAATATCATGCTGCATTATTTAGAACCAAAGTTACATCTTATTTTTCAGCAAAATATAAATTTATATAAAAATATTAATTTCTATCTGAATTTCTGGGACGAGGAGTTATTTACATTCTATTGTCCCGATGTTTGTTGTTATCACAGTTTTCCAGAGTCCAAGCAAATACTGCCTGTCCCAGGGAATGAACTCACAATTACCATTTCACCAACTTCAAAAACTACCATTTTAATCCACTAGATTATTTTTTTTTTTTTAGCCCAATGGATAAAAACATTTTAATCCACTAGGCTATTTTTAGCATTATTTTTTTAGCCCAGTGGATAAAACATTTTAATCCACTAGGCTATTTTTAGCATTATTTTTTTTTAGCCCAGTGGATAGAAATATTTTAATCCACTAGGCTATTTTTAGCATTATTTTTTGTTAGCCCAGTGGATAAAAACATTTTAATCCACTAGTCTATTGTTCCTAATCAGTGAATTAAATCCACTAGGCTATTGTTAGTGTTTCTAATAACCCACTTAAATTAAAAATTTTAAAAGCTAATTTAATAGTGGTCTTTGAAAGTTTAATTCATGAGTCACATGGATTAAAATGTTGGTTTGTGGATTTGATGACTTAGTAATTGTGAATTCAATGACGTGTCAATTTTAATCCAGCCAAAGTCAGATATTTCATATATAAGCAGTCAAAATATAGCCAACAGAATTAATACTAATATCTTAATGATATGTGTAAGTTAGGCTGGCAAAAGGCAGAGCTGGTTGAGAGAATTGTAACTATGGCACTTTCACCTGCTCTGGCATGCATGGTGCAAAGGTAAACTTACCCATATAGGGATTAGACATTTTAATATGCTTAAATCTTTTTGCTGAGAAGTGGAACTCTGTCTTCAAGCAGACCTAATTTCTGGAGAAGAAGCAAGAATTTATTCTATTTCATTAGTTCTTCATTTAAATGTGAATTACCTGAGCAAATGAAGCTTAATTTTTTTTTAAAATAAGGATAAAAAATACATTTCAGATAATATATATATATATATATATATATATATTATAGAAGATTATATAATGTAATGTATTAAGTACATTATAATCTTAATTCCCCACAGGATTATAAGATATAAAAACAATAGTGTTTAGTATTAAAACAGAGCAATCTAAGATGTGAGTATCATATACAGATATTTAAATAATACTAAATCTTAACATTATTTGCAACATTAAGTTTGGTTTACAAGATTCTTTATATTTTCAAAGTTAAAGAAAAGGAAAAAAAGATCTATTTGCAAAGTGAAAACATTGGAGTACTGAAATTTGAATTATTAGTTATCAAAAATATAGATTAATTGAAAGACTTAATTCCATCTGAACCAATCATTCTAATACTATTAGCAGAACTGAGTACTTTGTATCTAGGGTAAAACTTAAAGAAAAGTCATTAAATTCAATCTTAATTCTTAGAATTATTAAATATTACTTCCTTGCAGTTAAGAAAATTTAGAAAATATTTATATTTTAAAGATTAAAAAACAAACACTTAAATAACATTAACATTTAAACAAGCAATGTAAATCTTTCTATACTGAGAGAGTAACCAAATGTTATGAATAAAATTTCCCTTTTGTGATCTTTTGAAAAGATGTGATGTAAATGATGGAATATGCTTTATCTAATATCCTTAAAAAGCAGAGGATATTTGTAAAGTAGTTGACAAGACCTAACAGTCAAAGTAATATTGAAAATTCTGAAAAGATGAAAATATCTCTTTCAAGCTTAGTTATATATTCAATACACAAATTGTGATAAGGATCACCAATATCACTTTTAAATTCTCAACAGACTTATTGCTGATGTGATATCAACCATATCATGAACCAAAGTTAAAAATGGTTACAAGAAATATAACTGTATATTTTAATGCCATATCTGTTTAGGTTGTAGGCAATCAGCAACCACCACAATTTTTGTTTTATCTGTGAATTGCTGTGCATTCTAGGGGAAAAGACAGTGATTTACTCCATGATTTGAAACTAATAGTTTTTTTTCTTCCTTTTAGACCAGTTGACAACTAAGGCCCAATCTACCCTGCTATTTAGCCCATAACTGGGGGGGGGGGGAGATTCATACCTTCCCCCTCACCCTAAGGACATTTGTGCAAGTGTATAAAGTCAAAATTGGAACTAATCTCCAATTCTACTTTCTGTGCCAATATCCATTATTACACTACTTGCAAATCATCTAGAATCCTACATCTATAACAAAAGCTAAAGCAAAAAGTACAATTTTATAACTTCAAAATCTAAACTAGATTCTGATCCACAAACAAAAAAGACAAACTAGAGAATTATAGTTCTGTGTGTGTGTGTGTGTGTGTGTGTTTTTAAATTCCAAAATGATTTATTACTACATTACAGATTATGCAAAGTGTCCATTAAACTTTTATAAGAACATTCAAGTATATTGCAAATAGACTTACTTTAGACAGGTCAACTCCTGTAAGGGCATTTACAGCTGGTGGCAGTTGGCTGATAAGGCGCGAAACTTCTCCAGACATTTTGTCATCACCCAAAATAACAATCTCTTCTGTTTTAGACAGTGGAGCAGCCACTTCAGCAGCAACCTAAAAGAGGGAGAAAAAAAAGTTAAATTTGATACTCTCTTTTTGAGGGAAAAAAAAAAATTAAAAAATTACCAAATAGCAATTAAATTAGATAATTTTAGATAATATTTTATTCCAAAATTTAGCTATGCAACAGTGATACTATTTTCACAAACAAATTACCAGATACATGGAGGATTTTTTTGTCATTCATTTTGACAAATTTCTTTTTATCATAGTTCTTACCTGAATCATTCTTCAGTAATTAAACTTTGTGTAAACTATGATACTCTCCTCCATCTTCAGCCACATATTTATTTATATATATATATATATATATATATATATAAAGAAGATTTTCCTCTCTTTTGAAGGACAATTTCATGACATACAAGCATTGTATGAATGCATTAAATAGGTGAAAGTATAAGCTATATCTACAAATATATGAAGTTTGAATTTTCTATTCTGAATCAGTAGGAAGATGAAAATTAGACATTGACAAGGGAAGACATGTTTTTATTATCTTGTCTAATGTTAGTTGATTTGTTTAACAGCATATCAACTTATGTGTCATTTATTGCTGAAATTTAATTTTCTTGGGAGCTTTGAATTAATAAAAATATGATATGTTATTCTGTTTTCACAATTGAATACATGGTAGATGATACTCAGCTTTTGTACATATATATATATATATATATAAAAGTGTGTGGACATAATTACTAGAGGTGGTGATGTGTGTTTTATGTTTTTAAGTTATATTTTCAAATACAGTTTGATTTAAGAAATTGTAGGATATGAGTTAATGTCATGAAAGTTCATGTTGGTTGTTTGGTTGGTTTTGTCTAGCAGCATATCAACACCTCTATGGGTTATTTAATGCTAAAATCTAAATATTTTGAACACAATTTTATGGCTACAGCAAAATATTTTGAACACATACACTATGCCTTCAACTACAGCTAAGGTGTATTGCTGATTATGTATTGTTGGTCTTTTTATATAAAAATGTATTGATGATATTTTTACTATTAAAATGTATTTTTATACTTTCATAGTGTTTTTGTTTGGGGGTGGGGGCTTACTATTTGCCCATAGCTGGGACCCTAACAGGTGCTACCACCCTGGGTTAGAGTGGACTTGGGAACAGCAGCAATTAAGAGATGGTTTCAGGTTCCTCAAAACCTCCAATCTCCTGATCAGATGCTTTGTTGCCAGATGTAGTTTATTGTCAAACCCAGGACCTATTGTCTACTGTGAAAAACTTTGTATTATCATCTAAATTGAAAACTATTACTTGAGAGCATATTCCCCGTTTTCCAAAAAGAGAATTTACAAAAGACCTGGGTATTAAGGCGGATTTTAATTTAGCTACAAATTGGGCTATCTTATGTAATCTTTATTCAAATACAACTATATCCATGTATATAAAACAATTTTTATAACTGAAAATCAATTTTAACTGAATGTTTTACAAATGGGTTAAAAAATGCACAGGTTTTTAAAGAATGACAAAAATGGAAACGTTAAATGTATAGTGTTTCATTCTTTAAAAAGGACTTCAGACTAAAGTAATGTTCTAATTGTTGGATTTAGGGGTGAAATATAAGTAGGAAATAAAAGACAGTTATAATTATAAACCAAGAAGAAATGCTGAAAATGTAGAGACACTAAATTTTAAAATTTCACACATATGACCTTTTCAGACAACAACTCGGCTGATCCCATTTAGTTTTTATTAAGGTGAAATATTTCATTGTCAGTGTAGGATATTTAAAAATAACAGTGATAAAAAAAACAAAAAAACAAAAGCATAATCAGTACATAATTATAACAAATGTTTTCCATTTACACACACACAAGTTTCATTAAAAATATGTTTGTAGGATGTATAATAGTATCCGAATCAAAAGTGGAAATGAGAAAGTTGAAAAGCTATAAACGCATTTTGTCAAAAGTCTGTTTTCAGTTTCTTCAAGTCTAAATGAAAGACACACTCACAAATTTATATTATTAAGAATGTTATTTTAGCCTGATAAAGTCCTTTTAAAGGATTAAACACGTCATATGGAGGTTTTTCGATTTTCTCATTAAATCACTCAATATTGTTCTAAGAGAGAAATTTATATATCATGTCCTCTGATAACTTACTAAGTTTATTTAGCTGTATCATAAATTTAAATTTTTCTGCCAATATTTTCAAAAAGACCTTTATGCATATTAACTTTTTTATATAGATTATTTCTCTTTTAGAACATTTAGTTACTGCCTTGCTATAAGGATAGTTTGTTTAATATGGAGAAGAAAAAAAGATTACAAAAAGATTTTTTTTTTTTTTACCTTAGGTAAGGTTTCAAGCATGAGGTTCAACATAGCAGCCTTTCCATATTGTTTATAGGCTCCTGATTTAAGGACCATCTCCTCGGCCTCAGCATTACCCACAGCTTCAATGGCTGTAGCCTCAGCAGCTCCAATCAGTTTGATCTTTTCTGCTTCAGCCATGGCAGCCATCACTGTTTGCGTTCTAAGGAAAAGGAAGAAAAAAGAAAAAACTTCAGATTAAATAAAGAAAAAAGTATGTGTGTGTATGGGAATCCCTGTTTTAAGAATTTTGAGGCTTTGCAAAACAGATTTTAAAAAGTATATTTCAGTTGAGCAGTATCAGATATTACTTTGATATTTGTAAAAAGTACAATTTTTACAAACGATAAAGAAGTAAAAAAAAAAAAAATTTTTTTGCAAAACTGTCAGTATAATTAAGATTACTTTGCCAACAATAGATAATAGCTTTTTCTCTCCCAATAGGGAGAAAACTGTAAAATTCAGTTTTATATATATATATATATATATATATATATATATAATAAACAAATATACATAACACTTTACATTGATTGCACAACTAAGTTTCATGCTGATGCAATTTTCAAGTGCTGGTATTTGGTTATATATATATGGTTTCAAGATTTTCACAGATCTTTTAACCTCTGGGATCTGGTTTCAAGATTTTCACAGATCTTTTAACCTCTGGGATCTGGTTTCAAGATTTTCACAGATCTTTTAACCTCTGGGATCTGGTTTCAAGATTTTCACAGATCTTTTAACCTCTGGGATCTGGTTTCAAGATTTTCACAGAACCCTCTGGGATCTGGTTTCAAGATTTTCACAGATCTTTTAACCTCTGGGATCTGGTTTCAAGATTTTCACAGATCTTTTAACCTCTGGGATCTGGTTTCAAGATTTTCACAGATCTTTTAACCTCTGGGATCTGGTTTCAAGATTTTCACAGATCTTTTAACCTCTGGGATCTGGTTTCAAGATTTTTCACAGATCTTTTAACCTCTGGGATCTGGTTTCAAGATTTTCACAGATCTTTTAACCTCTGGGATCTGGTTTTTTCACAGATTTTCCTCTGGGATCTGGTTTAACCTCTTTTTAACCTCTGGATCTGGTTTCAAGATTTTCACAGATCTTTTAACCTCTGGGATCTGGTTTCAAGATTTTCACAGATCTTTTAACCTCTGGGATCTGGTTTCAAGATTTTCACAGATCTTTTAACCTCTGGGATCTGGTTTCAAGATTTTCACAGATCTTTTAACCTCTGGGATCTGGTTTCAAGATTTTCACAGATCTTTTAACCTCTGGGATCTGGTTTCAAGATTTTCTCTTTTAACCTCTGGGATCTGGTTTCAAGATTTTCACAGATCTTTTAACCTCTGGGATCTGGTTTCAAGATTTTCACAGATCTTTTAACCTCTGGGATCTGGTTTTCACAGATTTTTAACCTCTGGGATCTGGTTTCAAGATTTTCACTTTTTTAACCTCTGGGATCTGGTTTCAAGATTTTCACAGATTTTTAACCTCTGGGATCTGGTTTCATTTTCTTTTTTAACCTCTGGGATCTGGTTTCAAGATTTTCACAGATCTTTTAACCTCTGGGATCTGGTTTCAAGATTTTCACAGATCTTTTAACCTCTGGGATCTGGTTTCAAGATTTTCACAGATCTTTTAACCTCTGGGATCTGGTTTCAAGATTTTCACAGATCTTTTAACCTCTGCAAGTTAAATAGTGATAGCTCTGCCAAGCAAACTTGTTGGTCCAACACTTCCCATTAGCATTCAATGGGATCAAAATCTGGAGAACATGGTAGCAAGAACAACATAGTGAAGCTTTCTTCAGTCTCCTGAAACCATTTCCAAACAAACTTATGCAGTTTGACATGGTGCAATATCCAGCTGAAAGATACCACTATCAGGAGACAGTGATGATTGATTTTTTCCAGATCCTTATCCTTTTGGTTAGTTTTCAGACACCCCCATATGGTACTATGACTGTTAAGGTCACCTAATAATAGGTGAGGTTTAGGAATTTGTCTTATTAACTTGTTAAATTTAATATCAATCATAGGCTCATGTGGTGGAATATAAATAGAACAGATATTTACTGTTTTTTGCAATGTTGTTTTGACAGCAATTATTCATGGTCTATGGTTATTTGGTGTTGAGGTTTGTCTTTACTAACTAGGATCAATACACCTCCAGAAGCTCTGTGTCCGTCTTTGTGTAAGTGATTGTACGAATTGTAATTTTTAATGTTTAGCTGGTTGGTGTCGTTGAGGAATGTTTCTTGAAGGCATACAACTTTGGGGTTATATTTATCAAGGAGTATTAGAAGTTCTTCAGAGTTGGCTCTAATTCCTCTGCAGTTCCATTGTAGGATTGAATTATTTTGCAGTTTTGTTATGTTAAACTAAATTTATTGTTTTTCCTAGATTTGTTTATATTGCTCGGCTCTTCCGTCTCCATTTTTTCTATCGAGCTAAATCTATTTTTAGTATCAACTTTTGATGTTGATAATTCTGTAGATTGACTTGTTAAGTTCGACAACTTTACATGTTCCCGTGAGGATGAAGTTGGAGTATTGTCTATTTTGGATTGGTGGAAAGTTCTGTCTTATTATTGTTTGGTGCAGGGTTTAATGTTTGATTTTTCCCAAGATTGTCAATTTTATAAGTAGGAGGATGGCTTGATGATTTCTGTGACTTTTGTTTCTTAGGAGAAGTGGTATGTGTCTGTGCTGTTGTTTTGTAGTTGTTTTAGTGGAAGATTTTCTTTTGTCTGCAGGATTACTTTGAGTAGTTGGTGTTTCTGAAGCTGTAGTTGTTTTATTTTTGTCAAGGTCAAGCAAGGCTTTTATCTTATTAATAAAATTGTCCCAGTCATCCAGATCCAGCTGAATTTATGTTTTGACAAATTCTTCATATTTGTTCTGTTTTTTTTTTTCCTGATGGACTACTTGGGAATACATGGTAGTGTTAGACCCTACTACCATCTTCCATGCTTCTTGGTAAGGAATGTTATTTTTGTGCTTTATTCATAGAATTTCCTCTTCTCCAACTGTTGCAAGATCTTGCATAGACCGGATGATCACCACCACAGTTAGCACATTTATTGGGAAATTCAGATTCATTCATGTGATGGTCAGGATCTTTTTGGCCACATTTCCCACACACCTCTCGTCCTCTACATGTATCTTCATGATGTCCATATTTTTGACATTTATAACATCTCAGAGGGTTAGGCACAAACTGCTCGACCCTCTCCATGGTATAGCCTACTTTAATTTTCTCTGGTATTTTCAGTGAGTTAAATGTCATTATATAGGTGTTTGTTTCTATCATTTTACCTTCTTTTTTTTATTGAAATTCATTTAGCATCAATGACATTTTGTTTTTTCAACTCTTTAATTTCTTCTATTGTACATAAAGATAGTTTTTTGCTTCTCACAACCCCCTTACTTATGTTCAGGGATATGTGAGGGTATGTTTTTACTGGAACGTTGTGAAACAGTCATTTTTAGTAGAAAATCCACGTTTCTTCTTTTCCACTTCGACAAGCAGTGTCCCATTTTTCAATTTCTTGACAGTTAAAGGCATTAAGTTGCCTGATATCACCTTTTCTATTATAAAGGGAAATAAATTTGTGATCAGTGAGCTACATGACTATAACAACAAATCTCAGCAAGGATGATTCCGCTTCATTATCTGAAGAAGAATCAGATTCTATATAGTTGCGTTTAATTTTTTTTTATTTGTAGAGGAAGCCATAAGTGTTATGTTTTTCTCTGGTTCCATGCTCCTCCATCCACCACGGAGTCCAACTTATGTTGGGGATAAACCAAGGGAGGAAACCCATTCGCTGAGACAGGGATACAAAACCAGTATACTCATGCCAAGAGTATGATTCTGAAACTATCAAATGCACAACAGTCTAATGTTGGTCAAAAGTCATCTCTCGACACAATTGACCCTCAGTCCCCGTCTTCTAGCATATATAATAGAGGGTTGGGAATAGTTCCTCAAGAGCAGATTGATAGTTCTACATGAGCAGATTGTATAACATGATTGGGAGAAAATAAAGACAAATATATATGCTAGGGCATGTCAGGACTAGCCGATTGATCGGATCAGGCCTCTCTGACCGTCCGTCTAGCCCAGATAAGGGCTAAAGTGGAGTGTTGCAATACCATGGCCACTTTTTCCCGGGTCATGGATTGCTCAGCCACCAGGATCCCGTCTCCAGGCATTATGGGTTGCCAACCACAGCCAACAGGGAGAAGGGCCTATTTAACCCATAGGTGGGACCCTATGCTGTCAGACGTAGTTTATCATCATACCCAGGATGGTGGTCAGCATGGATATTCTGACTGGTCTGGAGTTATGTAGACTATTATGATACACTTATCCTTTTATCTTTGACCGTGTATGCCTGTCCTGCATTGGACTTACCAGGCACAAACATGCCAGCAAGTAACATGTACAGACTCCCTCTTGATCTTCGTCTTGTGAAGCCAAGCCATCATGACAATCCTTTTATCTTGATTAAAGCTATCTGCAATTTATATCACAGTAGTCTTTCTACATACTTGACAAGAAGAGTTCAATTGATTTCTCACATCAATAAGTCTTGGCCACTCAATACTTTGTTGGCAGTTGGTGATCCCCCTACTGCTGTTGATAGGTACTTGCTGCAACCGACTATGAGCAGCCCATAAACTGTGATGTTTCAGAAATTCTCTAGTCTTCTGGCCATAACAATGACATTTTATCAAGTTTATCATTTAAACCTCTCTTGCTCATAATTGTGGCAGTCAATACATCAAAATAAAGTACTGCATGAATTTAAATGCGCTACTAGGTTGGCATCTCAGTCCCACCCTTTCACTGTTGAAACAAAAACTCAAGAGTGTCTTACCTGCTCTTTAGAATTCTATATAAAGTGGACAACAAAGTTAACACAAAGTGGAAACAATCTGTTTCATGTGTAAACACTATCTTCAGGCCTTTAAGACTGCTGCCACTTGGTGTTGACATCAGTGGCGACTTTTGTATTTTCATATGCTCTATCCCTGATATTGAACACTTTTACACAAAAATATAGCATACCAGTGTTTCCCAATCTATGGTCACCGAAAAATTCTGGGTTCAAAGTGGGCCATGAGCTAAAAAAGATTGGTAACCACTGCCATATATCATTTTCTTACAAAAAAGAATGTGTGACATGCAGCAATGCGCAGGTAATTCAATAGTGTATATATTTTGATTTGAAATCATTGTTAGAATTTGTGGAGAAAAATGATGCATTTCAATATGACTCAATGATCTTGCCAATGTGACCTCCATCTTCTGGCTTTCTCCTTGTATATTTTGGATAGAAGTCATTCTCTTGTTCAAATTTAAATTTAATATAAATCAAAGGGAAAAAATTTTCAGTGAGGGGTTTATACAAAAACAGCTTGATCTGACCCCTCTGATATGTATTTGATGCAATACTTGATTGAATGAATTTATGAGCAGATTTCAACATTGATATGACAGTGGAATTGTTGCAACAAATATTTATTGTAAGGCACTACCCACTGATTGGTGATTTCTTGCTCAATTTCATGTCTATATTGTCTCATTTTGATGTTGCTGATGTGATCTCATCTTCTGGCTTTCTCCATCTATATTTTCAATAGGAGTCAAATTTAATTTAAATCGAAGGGGAAAAAATAATTTCAGATGGGGGGAGGGGGTTGTAATGTTTTTAAGGCAATCAATCTTTGTAATTGTAGTTCTCAATATGAAGAAATAATGCTTTAAAAGAAATTAAGTCTCTGCTTATATCCACTTAATACAGTCTCTGCAAAACTCAGAATAGAGCGAAGATAAGTAAATATTTTCTTATTGATAGATAAATAAGAACCCTGACATGTAGAGTTGTTAAAATCAGTCATTTTTGTCACTGGTTATGTTTTGGGTCATCAAATTTTCAACAATTTGATAGAGAGATTAGATAAATCTAGATGCAAATTAAACCAAATTGACATCTTAGAGATCACTTCTGGAGTATTACAGCTTTCAGATCTGGAGTGCATTATCCAAGATTAACAATGATACAATTCCACAGCATACTACAATTACCTGAATCAAAGTACAGATACATCATAACAGTAGAACATCAGAAGTGCAACCAAAGATAAGTTTAAGAATGTACATGTATACAACAAAAGGGTGACCAAAATAATACCTTTGTCCTTCAGCCAACATTTCTACTTTGAATGCTTGGGCTTCGGCAGGCTGTTTCACTGTAGCCACCAGTTCTTTCTCTTTTCTCAAAACTTCTTTCTCTTCAATATCAATTTGTTTTCTGCGCTCTACAACATCAATCTCTATCTCCTCAGTACGGATCTTCTGTTTCTCTTTGGCACCTTGGAGTTCATAAGCCAGCTCAGATTCTGCTTTCTGAATCAAACAAGTTAGAAAAGTCAAAACGATGCTTACCATTTTTATCATTATTTCTAATAACTGAAAAACATTTTGCTAGTGGAAATTGACTCACTACTAATTAAAAATATGTACACTCGAATGAAAATGAATTACAAGCAACATTTGTTTTGATTTAAATTATTCTTGGTTTTTCAAACAGTAGTTATTCTGAGCTATCTTAGATTAATATTGGAATTTACTGGTTCTCTCAATCATTGCATTTCTTTCATTATTTTACTTAAAAAGTTTATATATATTCAAAAATTATAACAAATATGTTATAAAATCACTACAAAAATAGCTATTTTGTTTCAATACTTATGGTGTCATCTCAAGTGATGGTATAGTATATTTTTGTAGTGATTTTATAACATATTTATGTTATAATTTTGAATAAATAATATTTGCTCTACTCTGTATTGAGCATTCTTTTAAGAATAGTGTTTTTAGTTATTGGAATTTTATTCTGTCTACACCAATCTTATATTGTGTGTATATATATATATATATATATGAGGCTGCAAAAATAGGTATACAGTAAGTACCATATTAGTATTATCATATTGGTTATAGAATTCATTTAATTCATTTTTAATATCTTTATTTTCATAATTATTATAATACATTATTATAATACATTATTATAATTTTTAATTTTTTAATAATTAATGTTTTGTAGGTAAAGAGGCATGTGTGAATGATGGAGGCAAACAGTTTGATTCTTTGAGGGATTGATATATTTATTATTGATATGTTGTATAATCAGTGTTTTGTAACTGGATTTGTTTTTCATTACTGTATACCTGATTTCCCCCCCCCTGTATATAGAGAGATGAGTTAACAAGAGAGTAGAAAGGAAGATAAAACGGAAAATAAATGAAAATTAAATAATTTTGACAAAAATCACCATTTTATCAGTAAATCCATCTATCCACCTATCAAACTTCTTTGGGCCCGATGTTCATCAGTGTTAACATCATTCTGTATAATCACTGTGGTGAACACATGTAAGTACAAATGCAAAGTTGTGTCCAGACAAGTCTGTCAAAGCTAGTTAGTCACATCCAGGTTTCTCTATTAGAAGCAGAACAGCTTGACTTGTTCAGATACGGGCCTCTCTAAAAACTTGTCATGTCAATAAAAGTGATGGAAAAATCTGCTTTTGACAAGATCCACTTTGCTATCATATTTCGTTCTGGAAGTTACGTATTGCCCATTGCGCTGTGTTTTTTGGTGCAATGGCCTCACTCGTCATTATTCAGTTTTTTTTTTTAAATTTTTCCCTTTTCTGCCTGTTCTCCCCTTCATTGATAAGCGAACAATCTGTTATCTATTAAGTGTTTTCCTCCAATCTCAATACACCTTTGACTTATTTTCTTACACCCTCCAGTGGAATTATCCATAGTTGTTGAAATATTATTTTTCAGACATAGTATCTGCACCCCATGTCTAACCATCTTTGTACTGCTTCAAGTGGTTGAGTTTTGAGTTTAAAGTTATTCTTCTCCTAGACTAGTTGCCAACTGCAGCTAAGGCCAAGTCTACCTGGTATTTAACTCCTAAATGGAGGAAGACAAGATGGATTCATAGCTTTCCCAAGGTTATTTGTGCAAAAGTGAATGTAATAAACTCAAATGGAAGTTGAACTCAGCTTACAGATTTCTTATTCCAAGTCACTAACCATTAAATTATATATTTTTGAATATAGCCATGAAAAATGCCGCTTTCTTCGGACATAAATAATAACATCTGAATATTTTTATTATTCATTTGAAAATAGCTTTTGAATATCAACAGTTGTCATTTCATATAGTCTTAAAAAGGGAACAAGTAAAAATATTAGATTATAATATTACTAAATTATGCAAAGTAGTCCTGCAATGCTTCCCTCCAATTTTTTTTTTTACAAATTTGAAGAGAATTTTTATCAGAAATTTCCTTTTTCCAGTAATGGTATGTTTTATGTACCTAAGTATGCAAGTTCTAGGTATTTATTTCTTCCAGTCTTATTTGAATCTAGTTTCATAAATTTAAATCAAACAAATACTTAAACTAGTATATGCAGCATAATTACTGAACTAACTCAGTAATTTGTTTTGGCTGTTGGCATATTCTTGACTAGTTAACCTTCAACATGCTGCATTGTTAATATTACTTCCCTTTCCATTGTATTCTTTTCAAGGCCTCTCAATTGCAGTATCCTTATTGTCAATTTCATTCAAAGTTGTTTTCTGTTACCATAGCAGGATATGACAACACAACTATGAAATCCAAATATACTATTGTGCAGAGATCAATGTCAACTTCAGCGGCAGGTGAAACTTTTTGTACAGTAAATGAAGTCATATTCAGAGTGATAAAGATTTTAAAAAAATATTCAACCTTTGCATTGACTTCCATATCAAAACTAGCTTTTTGCATCTGGAACATTCTGGTTGCATCAGCAATTTTAGCATCCGCAGCATATTTTGAGTCCATCCGAACTTTTTCACATTCTGCTTCCTGAAAATGAAAATAGTAATGAATAAATGGATCAACAAGATTTACCAAAAGTAAAAATGATTTTTCAGTTCAATTTTTAAAAATTAAATTCTTTCTGAAAACATGAATTTTTCTCAAAAGTCTTAAATATTTTATATATTCAATAGCAACAGTATGTTATTTCATCTAAGATTGCAAAATTAAATATAGTATCAATAGAAAAACTGATATTCACTTGAATAGCTTATAAATATAAAAAAGGATTAATATCCAAAAACATCTAGAAATATAAACAAAGCATTTAAGATGTTTTTAACGACAATGTGGCCTGTTTATTCTATGTGATACATTATTATCAACAGTTCATGATGATCATTAAAATTACTGTTTCAATGAAAGACAAAAAAAAAAATAAATAAATATTTAATAGCTGTTCAGATAATGAATAATTTAACAGAAATTTCACTATTTTTCAACAGTGGAATTATTTGGGTAAAATGGTTCAAAACATTAGTGTCCATTCAGAAGAAATAAAAGTTAATCAGAAGTAACTGTAACACTATTCAAATCGATTAGCTGTGTAAAATGGATTAAAGAAAGTAGCAATATATATTACACACACACACACACACACACACAATGTACTCACCCTTATGACGGCATCTCGGAGAGCTTCAGCAACTCCAATATCAGCATCTCTCTTTACATTTGCTGTTTGTGTTCTTCCCAAGGATGAAAGATATTCTACTTGATCATAAATATCTTTGATTGTAAAGCTCAGGATCTCAATACCCATCCTGCCAACATCTGGTGCTGCGACTTCTCGTACCAACTGAGCAAATTGGTCTCTGTCTTGGTAGATAGCCTCAACACTCAATGTGCCTGAAAAAGAAAATATTCAACTATGAATAGAAAAGGAAGCAGAAAAATAAGGTTAAAAAAACAAAAACCAAATTATACAAGATATTATAAAGTTATCCAAATTAAATAACAAATCAAGTCAAATAAAGCAACATTGACTACATTCATTGATTTACCCAGCTGGTCGATGAGAAAAAGCGTTCAATTAGAGTGGAACAAAAACAGCATGTTTAGAAGTAACAGTCTATCTTCAATAACTTTAAAGTACTTTCATCAAAAACATTTTGAATTAATGCAGTTACTGATATAACAGAAGTAATCTGTATTTATTTAATCAAAGTTAGCTGAGAACATGATGGGGTAAAACGGGCAACATGAAGACCCACTTCAGATCACAATTATTTGGGAGTTTTTGAAATTCAATTTGTCAGTGTGCTACCAGGGTGTAAAAGAGTATACATTTATAGAGTGATTGTTAAGTTTGATGAAAATTGGCTGAAAGATCAATGAAAAATAAGAAAGAAACCAGTAAAAATTGCTATTTTTTGCTATTTATGTGGGTTTTCACTATATGGGTGGACTCAATTATCAAGCTAAATGACTGTTAAACAATCAACTTATTGTTGGTTACAATTGAGTGAAGTTTGTATTAGATTGCTTGAAAATTAAGGGAGTTTTTAGTTTAAAATTTGTGTTGAAATCAATTTTTTGTTTTTCACAGTTTTTCGCTAAATGCCGTGGTGTAGAAATAAAAATGAGGTATCATTGAGCTCATCATGATGTAAGTAACCTAGTTGAATTTATCGATTTTTTTCACTAAGAACTTATCTCTTACATTGTATAATGTAAGTGCCAAGTTTGGTCAAAATCAGTTGGATGGACCTTGAGTGAAAAGGTATCACAGACAGACATACTCTGTTTTATATTTATATATATATATATATATATGTGTGTGTGTCAGATCACTCTTCTGTATTGTGCATGTATTTTTATGTATAGATAAAATTATTATATGGAATATCAGAAAATGACACTTCTCTTTGACAAGGATAAATACAGTTTTGTAAGGAGACTCCTGAAGCTTTACTTTTGAATTAATCTTTTAATCAAAACTACTTAGATAGAATAGTTGTTAGAGTGGAGTTAGGTAGAGATAGCAAAGAGACAAAATTTACTAACAGCTACAAAGGAAAGGAAATTGTGGTGAGCCACGATCACCCATGTCCTGAAGGGACAAGGCACACTGTTTATATGCTTTCAATCTATGATATCTCCGGAATTAGATAGGTAATGTAAATTACCATTTCTGAATGTGTAAGTAATGTTATTGTTTCAACAAAACTTTATTTGACAATTTGATTTTTTACAAGTAAATAAGACTAATCTTTCTAAGTTTAAAAAAAATATTAAAGTCCCTCGAGAATTTCTAAGGGGGGAAAAAAAAAGGAAAAAGGAAGAAAAAAAAGGAGGAAAAAAGGAAGAAAAAAAGGAAGAAAAAAAAGGAGGAAAAAAAAGGAAGAAAAAAAGAGGAAGAAAAAAGGAAGAAAAAGAGGAGGAAAAAAGGAAGAAAAAGAGGAGGAAAAAAAAAGGAAGAAAAAAGAGAGGAAAAAGAAAAGAAAAAAAAGGAAGAAAAAAGAGGAGGAAAAAAAGGAAAAAAATGAAAAAGAGGAGGAAAAAAAAGGAAGGAAAAAAAGAAGGAGGAAAAAAAAAAAAGAAGAAAAAGAGGAGGAAAAAAAGAAAAAAGAGGAGGAAAAAAAAAAAAAAGAGGAAAAAAAGGAAAAAAAGGGAGGAAAAAAAAAGAAAAAGAGGAGGAAAAAAAGGAAGAAAAAATTCAAAAAAAGGAAGAAAAAAGAGGAGGAAAAAAGGAAGAAAAAGAGGAGGAAAAAAAGGAAGAAAAAGAGGAGGAAAAAAAAAGGAAGAAAAAAGAGGAGGAAAAAAAAGGAAGAAAAAGAGGAGGAAAAAAGGAAGAAAAAAGAGGAGGAAAAAAAGGAAGAAAAGAGGAGGAAAAAAAAAAGAGGAGGAAAAAAAGAAAAAGAGGAGGAAAAAAAAGGAAGAAAAAAGGAGGAAAAAAAGGAAGAAAAAAGAGGAGGAAAAAAAAGGAAGAAAAAAGAGGAGGAAAAAAAAGGAAGAAAAAAGAGGAGGAAAAAAAAGGAAGAAAAAAGAGGAGGAAAAAAAAGGAAGAAAAAAGAGGAGGAAAAAAGAAGAAAAAGAGGAGGAAAAAAGAAAAAAAAAAGAGGAGGAAAAAAAGGAAGAAAAAGAGGAGGAAAAAAAAGGAAGAAAAAAGAGGAGGAAAAAAAAGGAAGAAAAAGAGGAGCAAAAAAAAAGGAAGAAAAAAGAGGAGCAAAAAAAAAAAGGAAGAAAAAAGAGGAGGAAAAAAAGGAAGAAAAAAGAGGAGGAAAAAAAAAGGAAGAAAAAAGAGGAGGAAAAAAAAAGGAAGAAAAAAGAGGAGGAAAAAAAAAGGAAGAAAAAAGAGGAGGAAAAAAAGGAAGAAAAAGAGGAGGAAAAAAAGGAAGAAAAAGAGGAGGAAAAAGGAAGAAAAAAGAGGAGGAAAAAGGAAAAAAAAGAGGAAGAAAAAGGAAAAAAGAGGAAGAAAAAGGAAAAAAGAGGAAGAAAAAGGAAAAAAGAGGAGGAAAAAAGGAAGAAAAAGAGGAGGAAAAAAAGAAGAAAAAGAGGAGGAAAAAAAAAAAGGAAAAAAAAAGAGGAGGAAAAAAAGGAAGAAAAAAGAGGAGGAAAAAAGGAAGAAAAAAGAGGAGGAAAAAAAGGAAGAAAAAAGAGGAGGAAAAAAAGGAAGAAAAAAGAGGAGGAAAAAAAGGAAGAAAAAGAGGAGGAAAAAAAGGAAGAAAAAGAGGAGGAAAAAAGGAAGAAAAAAAGGAGGAAAAAAGGAAGAAAAAGGAAGAAAAAAGAGGAGGAAAAAAAAAAGGAAGAAAAAGAGGAGGAAAAAAAAGAAAAAGAGGAGGAAAAAAGGAAGAAAAAAGGAAGAAAAGAGGAGGAAAAAAAAAGGAAGAAAAAAGAGGAGGAAAAAAAAAGGAAGAAAAAAGAGGAGGAAAAAAAAGGAAGAAAAAAGAGGAGGAGAAAAAAGAGGTGGGAAAAAAGGAGGAGGAAAAAAAGGAAGAAAAAAGAGGGGAAAAAAAGGAAGAAAAAAGGAGGAGGAAAAAAGGAAGAAAAAAGGAGGAGGAAAAAAGGAAGAAAAAAGGAGGAGGAAAAAAGGAAGAAAAAAAGAGGGGGAAAAAAAAGAAAAAGAAAAAGGAAGAAAAAAGGAAAAAAGTCTTTTTTAATTTTATTCCCTTCTAAGCATGCGGCCTTGGCATCCACAGAGTTACAAGCCTACTGATTATATAAAGCCTTAGAAAGTAAAGCAAACTCCTTTCTTTGAAGATGTTAGTGAAGTAAATTGCCTGTTACTTCCTCAAATCCATGAGCTACCAGTCTGGCTTTAGTAATAACAGTGCCATTCATTATAGTTTTCAATAATAAACCTACTATACCATAATATTTTCACCTTGATCTTTGACATCATCATACATATAATTATTCCATCAAGTCCATATGGATTTGATTAGTTCAAGTGACACATGGCCTAGTGGATTAAAGCATTGGTTAAAACAGATCTTGTTTCCTGATAGTAATATCAAACCAGAGATTGAACTAAGAAGTCGCATATGCAACACAAAGAGGCAGACTGATGGGTATTAACTGCTATAAAACATTCTCTAAGCATGGAAAACAAAATGAGAATCTACCCCCATGGACTGAATAAAGGAGGTTACAGAATATGAAGAAGCCCAAAAGGTACAATGGCCAAAACATTGTGGGTATAAGAAACAAGATAAGTATGCTGGTCCAATTAGCAAAACATATAAATTATCTGTCTAGCTCTTAATGAAGGCTACAGAGAACAGGACAATAGTTTGCATATAAGTAGTAACATATCATAGCTCATCCCAGAAATTTCGACAGAATTCTTCTAGTTCTTGCTTTCATTTTCCATTGCTACCGCAATTTCATCACAATATTATAATAATCACCAATTTATCAGATACAACAACCAATGTTTAAATTTATTGAAATTAATTCAACTAGTAGAATCATTTACTATTACAAGTGTTTATATTTGCCAGTAACTTCCCCTCTGCTCTATACATTATACTGCCAGATATTTTCAGAGTTTATTCTTTGAAAAAAAAAAATAAATAAAAAACCAGAAAAAGTCAACTGTCATTATTTACTTTCAAAAGTTCAACAGCAACAGTAAAGTTTTATTCATTGACTTTTACATCAAGTTCATTATTATCACTATTTCCACAAGCCTATTCCACTTTTACTACCATCATTATGTTTATTATATATATATATATATATATATATATATATATATATATATATATATATATATATATATATATATAATATAGAGGATGCCTGTGTGATACCTTTTCACCAAGATCCATCCAACTGATTCTTACCAAACTTGGCACATACATTGTAGAAAAAAAAAAAAAAAAAAAAAAAAATCAATTTTTAAGAAAATCAATAATTGATAAAGCTGATAAAAAAAATAATCAATAAATTCAACTTTTTCCTCCAATTTCATTCAAACTCAGTATGTAGGTTACTTATGACAAGCTCAACGATAAATCATTTTTATTTCTACACCACTGCATTTAGTGAAAAATGAAAAATCAAATTGAACACAAATTTTAAACTAAAAACTCCCTCAATTTTCAAGCAATCTAATGCAAACTTCACTCAATTGTAACCAACAATAAGTTGATTGTTTAACAGTCATTTAGCTTGATAATTGAGTCCATCCATATAGTGAAAACCCACATAAATAGCAAAAAATGGAAATTTTTACTGGTTTCTTTCTTATTTTTCATTGATCTTTTAGCCAATTTTCATCAAACTTAACAATCACTCTATAAATGTATCCTCTTTTACATCCCTGGTAGCACACTGACAAATTGAATTTCAAAAACTCCCAAATAATTGTGATCTGAAGTGGGTCTTCATGTTGCCCGTTTTACCCCATCATGTTCTCAGCTAACTTTGAATAAATACAGATTACTTCTGTTATATCAGTAACTGCATTAATTCAAAATGTTTTTTAATGAAAGTACTTTAAAGCAATTGAAGAAGATAGCCTCTGTTACATCTAAACATGATGCTGTTTTTGCTCCATTCTAATTGAACACTTTTCTGATCAACTAGCTGGGTATGGCTGGTAGTCTTTTATATTTGTGAACTGTTCCTTCACACTTGTGAGTTGATATCTTTATTAAATATTTGTATATACAGCACCAATATTTTCTTGCCATTCACTCATCCCACCTAACTCATTCTATTCATAATTGGCACTCCTTTTGTAAAATACTTCATCTTTTATACAAATTTTCTACATTTGTTTTGCTAATATTACTCCCTAATGCTGTTTTCATTTTCTCACTGGATTTAAGTTTTTTAAATTCTTACCAGGCCAAATGCAATGCCTTCAAAATTCTTTCTCACTTCAGTAGACAGTTACAAGTTCCAATGTGAGAGTCATTGTTGAAGATATCTGAAACAGCCAGGTTAAAAAGCTGTGCCAGAAAATTACTTTTGAGGTCCAAGAGAACTTAACATAGCCTAAATGTGCATATATGATGACTGAATTGCTAGCAAGACAAACTGTCCAAGCATTGGTGCTGGAATGATGAGGTGCATGCGTCATTGGGTCAGATCAAGGCTGGCAGCAAGCTCAATATGCAAATTCTCTGGCTTGGCAAGAACGTATAAAAAGGCGAGTGTTCGAGACCTCAGAAGGCTTCTGTGCTCAACACAGGTCACATCTGTGCGTACTGATCCAGAATCCATTGCGAGTGTGTTTCCAGTGTCTGTGCTACAGAATCCCAGGTTTCCTGATACAAAAGCAAAAACCAAGTGATTTGCAGAAGATCTAGAGTTCCCATTAAGAACATTGCTATCAGAAAACATGCAAACTAGCATCACCTCTTAATCACACTGAATATCTGCAATAATCTGGTATACCAAGTTACCAACAACTACATTGTTTTTCATATACACAGTTGCTCCAAAGATTTTCTACTGCTGTCATTAGCTTTATATTAAAAGCCTCACCAACTTCCTATTGTGGTAAAATTCACAACCATTGTCAGAAAAACGTTTTTAGCAGCATTAAAATTATTCAATATGCAAAACAGGAAAAAAAAAAAAAAAAATAAGCACACATGCAACTTTAATAATAGAAGCCAATTTGTTATTAATAGTTACAATACCATTTGCAGTTAAATAGACTGCTACACCAATGTTGATCCCTAAATGCCTAATCTAATGATTAGATGATCAATTTCCAGCACAAAATACAGGTTCAACTTTTGCAGCGTGTATAGTGAGATAAGAGGTGGCAGTAACACTTGACCCCACTAATTAGAAAGATAATATCCAAATACATGCTTTAAATTAGACCTTGTATTGTTATGTCACATTTTCAACAGCTGACATTACAAGGTGAGTGTCATTTTTAGGAAGCTTACATAACAGGGCTTAGAGTATTTCATATCTTGTATAAAATTAAAATACATGTTATCAAACTTACTAATGTTTACACTATTGCACCAATGCAAGTTGTAGAATGTAGTAAATATATCTATGGCTTTTATCAGGAAGATACAGTCCCAATATTTCTAGAATATCTACACCATTTTCTTCCTTTAAATCTGTAACACAAACTTCAAATGATGCAACTCCTGCTCTGCCGCTTAAAAGCAAAAGGTTACAAACCAAACCAATCCAATGTGTGTGATTTAGAGAAGTCCATTGGACACAACTTCTTTCACTGCAATGCCATGCACCCTTTGTGCGAGCCGATTGAAAGCTACACAGTTTGCATCTTGGAAAGTTTTTGTCCTAGAAGCCATCTGTGCCAATATGGTACTGTCACTGAGAAAGGGTCAGCACTACATGCTCTTGTGTTTGCTTGGCATTACGTGAGTCATGGGATGGACAGGAGTTTCATGGTGGTGAGAAATTCTCTTCTTACCTGATCTTTAAGCATCAGCTTAAGATCAGAATGTAATGGTGTGATGTCATTGAAATTCGGCAAAAGGTGGGTGAGAGTTTCAGACTTGGTCAGAGTAAGAGGTGTTGACCCAGAGTAGTTGCTGGATACTACTTAAGAAAAAAGATTTTGAGTCTCTAACCTAAGTCAGTCATCTCAGTCCATGTTTAGAGTTGTTTAGAGCAGTGTCTTTTTAGTTTGGCCCTATTAGGCCTTCCTCCACCCTTGGATTAACAGCTAGGGCATGCAAGTGCATAGACCTGTTTTGTCCTCCATTTTTATTTCTATTTTGCATCCCTTCCCCTATTAGGTGAGATTTGTTAGTTCTCTGGGGGATGTAAGACATTTTCAAAATATCAGATTTTTTCTATCAGTATTTTTTGGGGTGGTGGTAGGGGTATCAAATACTAATATGGTTTGGTTTAGTTTGTTGTACATATATTTTTCATTGTAAAAAAAAAAAAAAAAAAAAAAAATATATATATATACCAATAGCCCAATGATTTTTAAATTCAAGGGTTTTTGATTCAAGATTATTTTGATAAAATTAGTATGTAAAATAAACAAAGTTTAGTCTTTTCTTTCTAAAGATACAATTCCTTCTCATGTGTGATGATTAGTTTTTGTTCCACATCTCTTTAAATTATGTCACGATTTCTATGACGAACAATGATTTTCTGTATTTTCAAAGTTGATGATTTCATAGTGGTGTTTTCAAATTAGTTGTGCTCCGAGTTGTGCCTACACATATTAAAATAGTCACATTTTAAAGAAAAAGAAATGCTTGTCAATTTGGCAGACATACCATAAGGTCTGAAGATGTCCTGCACAAAAAAATTTCTAAGTTGAAAAATTCAGTGAATGAAATAGCAGGAAATTTGACAAAAAAAAATGAAATTTATATCTTCTTGTAGAGTAATATCTCGTTTGTTTTTAATAATCAGTTGGTTTCATATCTCTGGGGCTATACAACTCAAGGTACATGCAAATCAAAAATAAAGTATACTGAAATAATTTTGTGCAAAACGATCGGGTCCAAAACATCAAAATTTGTATTGTTGACTGAATAAATGAACATTACCAGCTGAATTCTATTTTAAATCAGACTTGTTTCATCAATGGATATTACAGTTTAAAACATTTTCTTATAATTTTTTTTTTTTTTACTGATACAATTTATAAAACAGTATAAATTTATTTAAAAACAATTCA